TGATGGAGCCCGACCCTCTCCAGGTCGGTTTTGAATTCAAAGTTTTCTTCTTGTAGCCCGGTTGCCACCCAAGGCTATAAACCAGTCTGATGTACTATTTATCCATAGCTGGGGGGGGGGGAAGAAGAGGATTCATAACTTTCCCAAAAGTATTAGCACTTAAGTGAATGGATCCGAATGGAATTTGAACTCGGCTCTCCGATTCCTCAATTGACAATCCACTATTCCACTGTGTCTCCCTTCGTTATATTCACTTACGAGCAAATACCCTTGAGAAAGCTATGAATCAACGTCTTTTACCCCTAGTTATGGGTTAATTAGTAAGGCTTGTATCACTAAATCATTATTGTTTGTAAAAAAAAATCTTACAATTTAAAAATAGTTTTTGGCTTTAAATAACCTGCAATGGGTTGATAAGCCGTAAAAAACGAATCATTCAATCAAACAGGGGGTTTAATACGAGGGAGAAATGAAGATTACGAAGTTAGGGAGGATTTTTACTTACGTCCATTCAATAGAAGCCCCAAGAGCCTGTCAAGGTGGAGGTTTACTGAATGAGGTAACTGAACGAAGTTCTGAACTTAGTTCCACCAGTTCAGATCTTCACAGCTAAGACCCGCCGTACCACGCAGACGGGATCGAATTATCCTCATTCTCGTTCGTATTCGGAGAGATTCTTTTCAAGAACAGTTACTTTATGGAAAAGACTTCGAGTGAATGCTTCCCCGATCACCACGATCTTAACCACTTTGTCTAAGCTCAACTGTTATCTATCCTACATATCCTCATATGTACTGACTGCCCACTCTTAAGTCCAAACACGAATCTCACTCAGTAACACTATATCTTGAGTAGCTCTTGGGTCTTGTATCGAGTAAAAAATTAGTAAAGATGTATATATCTGTGTGTGTGTGTGTGTGTGTGTGTGTGAGCGCACGCGCGTATCATAGTAATGCTACAAACCCAACCGGAAATGCTGATGATCAAGCCTATCAATATAGGGAATGGGGCGATTGCTATTGGAGAACCCACCTTTGTCTGGTCATAACTTTCTCATTTTTGATTCAGACGTATCAAGATCATTAAGAATTTTTAATCTGACACGGGCACTAAAAGGCGTTCTCCGTTCGTGTCACTAGCTGCCAAGAACAACGGCGGTGATAACCGTGAAAGTCACCAGATTAGCAAGAGGAATGGCAGGCGCTTCTCTACGGATCCCGTGAAGGTCGCCACTGTGGTGCACACCATATTGACGATGTCTTCAATTGTCTTTCGGAATTGTGATCAATGAGAGCCATCTCACGGTGCTCCACTTCTGAAAGACCTCAAGGTCAGTGATGCATCCGACATTGAGAGGTACTGGACACGGCGATCAAGTCGTGAATTGGGGGATGACCCAGAGAGAGGGCTGGACTAAGAAAAACTAAAAAAAAAAAAAAAAGCTTTCTGATAATTTTCACGATCATATCACCCGCATCAGCTCTTCGGATTTGAATCCCCTGAACGATTTGTTAAAGGCCGTCGTCGTAAACGTGTTGGCTAGCATGAAAGAGAACCGTCCTGATCAGACATGCATTACTTTCCGAATTCCACCAACGATGTCCTTGAACCTGACCGCCTTTTTACTGAATAGATATTTTCTGTTTTTCTAAAGTGAATATTTATACAATATGTTTTGAATATATACTAATTTATCTCTCTGTCTCTCTCTTCCCCTCATCCCCCACTCTCTATTTTTTTAATCATTTAGCCTCAGGCAACGGGTAATGCCACTAGAACGCAGGGGGTTATAGGAAGCGAAATAGAATGAGAAAAATGAGAATAGAGAATTAATGCGCTTAATTTCATAACATCTAGGTACTTGTTGTGGTGTCCTCCTTCATAAGAGTCTATGTTAGACTCTTCCGCCTACTAAAAGATTAGTAGGAGAGAAAGCTTTAGGATCTGTGAATAGATTGAGCGCTAGTTCATTCGATACACTCTCACTAATCGGGTAACACTCTTCTGGTGTACTTACTGTTTAATATCCAATATATCTGCAAACCTGATTTTTGTTATTACTTAACCATTTACTTGGTCACAACAGTACCATAAGGGAAAGTTCATCAGAACAAAAATCATGAAAGTATTTATAGAAAAGGCAAAGGGAAGCTACATTACAGCGGCGAGAAAGAGACTGAAGCGGAGATGTCAGGTTAGAACCAATAACATTGCAGATTCTCCTAAAGGATTTTATGAAGAATATCTAAATATATAGCAGGAGCACCATACCAAATGCGGTAGCAATATTCAAAGCAAGGACGAATAGTAGACTTATAAATATATAAGGTAGAATTATTTACTAAGCGTAGCTTAGATGTGGCAGAAGACTGAAAATATGGAGCAACCAGTGAGAATCGAACTCACTACTCAATCGTAGTTGATCTAGCGACACAAGCTTGCTAACCGTTACACCACGTCGAAGTGTCCAAATGTTTTTCTAAGTTAAGCAGTGGCACAAGACCGAAAGTGTGGAGCAACCTGTGAGGATCGAACATCAAACCCTTTGAATCAAATTGATTTATGATGTCTAATCTTTCAGTCGTTTCCGCTTAAATAAATATTAAAATCTGTTGAACGTAAAAGGTACATAAAAACACATTTCATCGCTTGTCGGAGTTAACTTCTCCTTTAGTTCTTTAACCCTTTCACCAGAGATATTGTCGGAGTTAACTTCTCCTTTAGTTTGTAATCCTTTCACCAGGGGTCTTTCTTACCTGACTATAAATAGTCGCTGACCCTTCGCCTCTTTCTCTTTTTTCCTCAGGCCTTTGCGCCGACACCTGGAGGTAAATCTCTCTTTTTCCTCAGGCTTTCAACCTTACCATCTCGAAGATGTGAACGCTCACAGAGAGATAGCGTTTCCCAAAATGCTGGGAACACGCTAAGCACAAACACACACAAACGCACAAATAATATTAACACACACACTTTGTCCTTTTGTAACTGTTTCTATGTAACCTGTTATTAATATATATATTTGTATACATATATTATCGGTCTTGTGTTTTTTTTGTTTTCTTTGCATTCTTTGGACTTAATTAATAGTCCAACCTTTTCATGTAGTTGGACCAACTAGCAGGAAAATCTGAACCCACATGTGTTTCTTCTACGTCTACTCAACAACATCACAGCCACGGTCCACTACACGCTCTTTTATTACTTTGCTTATGTCTATAGTCACAATCAAAATACTGAAACACTTGCGACTTTTTAACATAATACTTATAGTGCACTGGTTGATAAACATATTTAATTAATATAGATGTAATATTAAAGTTAGCTTATTGTTAAATATTTTGTTAAAAACTTAGTTACATATTGGAATATTTTGATACCATTGTATAAAATGGAACGCCTTCAAAATATTTAAATACTTCTTAAATTGTTTTATTTATACCAAATATTTAAATTTAATTTAATCGAAAATTCCTTTATGTCTTTTCTTATGTAATGACTGGACATACAAACTTCAACTTACCAACCAACACCCAGAGAGATCACATCGCAGACTTGCGGGACTGTCAAACATAAATCTATCATATTCTTGGGTTTTCATTTTTAAACGTCAGTTTTGACAACATAAAATTTTAAGTGTATTCACGCTATGAGAAAAATGAACTTAAATACTGCTTCCGGAAAAAAAGACTTTAACCAACTTTTTAATGTCGGTGAGTACATTATTTGACTAACTGACAAACAACACACAACACAGAGTTGTTATTTCCGGTACCGTTTATTTATTATTATTTTTCACTATGGCTGAGTCTCAATTATGTTTAAGGGGAGGATCGTATTTTACCATCGTACCCAAATAAATTTAGAAATCGAAAAGACTGTCGTAGGTACGGCCTACAGCAAAATAAAAAAATTACATTGGACCAATCTACACTAGAATTAAAAAGACTGGCATACGTCTGGTCTATACTAGCAGCAAATAGACTAACATTGGTTCGGTCTAAGTAGAATAAAAGCAAGCATAAAGGTGCGACCTACATTAGAAATTTAAAATACTGATACAGCTCTATATACCCTAATATAAAACAGCCTGAGATATGTACGGTCTACACTTGAATGAAAAAGACTGACATAGGTCCGGTCTACACTAGAATAAAGAAAACTGTCGTAGGTCCGGTCTACGCTAGAATAAAGAAAACTGTCAAATCACAGTGCTGATAACAAATATTGCGCCAGTTTGTTTACATTAAGCAGATCAGTACAAAAATTTCAGTGATTGCGCAGTTCAGTGTTGCCAATTTTGTGTGAAAATTTTCTGGGAAATGATTGGACGGTTTTTGAAATATTAGGAAAAAAGTTATCTCGATAATAATTTGGCACGCAGTGTAGTATGCAAAAGGTGGGGAATTACAGGGAATGGAAGAGAAAAAGAAAACTGAGAATAGGGAAGTTTGAGAAAAAGACAAAAAATGAACGGGATTCAAGAACACAGAAAATGGCGATTGACGTTGCATTTAAATTTTTGAAGAATGTAGTTGTCAGGGAATCAAGAAAAGGAAAGTGAGTTCCACAGGTGGAAAGTGCGAGAAAAGAAACTGTTGGAGTAGAAGTGTTAGTTGCATTTAGATATTTCAACAATAAAAGGGTGGGACCTAGATGCCAATCTTCTATCACGGTGACTTGTGATTAGTACGCTGGTCATGTAAGTTATGTCTTTTTGCCTACCATTTCTCTCTATCTCTTTCCCCTCTCTCTCTACCTTCCTTTTTTACCCTCTCTATTTCTCTCTCTCCACCCCTCTCTCTCTCTCTCTCTATAGCTCTCTCTCTATATATATAGCTCTCTCTCTCTTCCTTTCTATTTCTCTTCTTCTTCCCGCTTCATGAGAATTGCTTTTCTCTCAAATTAGTGTAATATTTTTGTACTCTCTTTCTCCGCTTTTATCAACTTTCCATTCTATTAAATTACATTTCTTCTCTTTATTTCCCATTATTCTCTTTTAGTCTCATTGTTCCTCTGACTTTCTCTTTCTCTCTCTCTCTCTCTCGCTCTCTCTCTCTCTATTTCTATTTCTCTTTTTCTCGGTGCCCTGCTACCAGATGATTTTTCTTTCATCTAAAACACTATTTTCCTCTTCATTCTTTTTTTTCTCTTTTTACACTCTTTTTCATTTTCTTTTTTTCATCATTTATCACTTCTTATTCCTGATTTACACTTTTTTTTTTCATCAAAACCATCATTTTTCATTTCGGGTCTATTTTCTATTTTCTCTCCCTATCTCTCTCTATTTCTCCTCCTCTCTCTATCTGTCATTATCTGTCTGTATTACTGTCATTTCTTCTTCTTCTTCTTCCTCTTCTTCCCTTCTTTTTCCGCTCTCTTCTTTCTCTTCTTCCTCTTCTTCTTCAAGTTTTTTGCCATTCTTTGGGGTCTCCTTAATATCTTCGCTCATTTCTATTCTTTTTGGCTACTCATGCTCATCCACTTCGTATTCCTTTGATAAACAGGAAGTTCCAGCTTCTTAGATCTGTTACTTTGTGGAACAGACTCTCGAGTGGATGCTTTCTCAGACACTACAATTTTAATTTTTCAGGTGTAGGGTAAAATTTTATCTATCTTATTCAGTAACCCTCTACCTTGAGTGGTTCTTAGCCCTTGTTTGGGTAAACAAGTATATACAAACCTACTCTTTGTTTTACGCAGCATTCTCTATCTCTCTATCTATCTTTCTCTTCATCTCCCTCTCTACCTCTCTATCTCTTTCTCTATCTCTATCTCTCTCTCCACCTGCCTCTCTACCTCTATCTTTCTCTCTCTCTCTCTCTCTCTCTCTATCACTCTCTCTTTCTCTCTCTCTCTATCTCTCTCTACTTCTGCGTTTTGTTTTTCTGAACTTCCCGATTTCATTTCCAAAACGCACGGTCTGCCACTAGCCAAGTGGTGACGGTGGCTTATTGTAAACCTGCATTTTCAATCAAATACACTCAACCTGCCACAACCACTTAAACAAATCAATTTAATAGGAATATATTGTGGACATTACCACGACAAAAATATACTAACCGTGGGTGGCACAGTCTATAAAATAACTAGCGAAATCTTACATAGTTTTTTTTAATATATAAAAGGTTGCGTTGGGTATTTGGAAGTAGTGTAATGGTTAACAAGCATGTCTCGCTTGATCAATGACGACTAAATTGTGAGTTGGGTACTCCACACTTTCGGCCCTATGCCACATCTAATCTGCACTTAATAAATCGCTATAAAAGGTTACGCTGAAAAGTTCTCAAGCCCAAAATGTCAGAACAAGAACTTTTCAGCACCCCCTTCACGTAGATGTCGCTCCCAATATCTACAACCACTGTATTATTTATTTCCCTTTTTTGTTTTAGTATTTCTCTCTTTACAAAAACGAAAACCTATTTATATTATCTTCTATTCATGTATGAGTTCGGCCCTCTCTTGGAGCCCCCATACTTTCGGCCTTGTGCCACATCTAAGCTACGCTTATAAAATCATCATCCTCTATTCAAGTATTTTTGAGAAAGTTGCATTTATGTCTATATTTTTGAGTTGAGGTGTTGTTTACATTATTTACATTGTTCGGACTGTTGTCCTCATCTTTATTGTCATGTTGACGATATTTCTTCGGCTGTTGTACGGTCCGGCCTTCTTCAGGACCTGACTTTATATCTGAGATGAGGTATTTTAATTATTTATATTATTTACCTTGTTCGGACTGTTGTCCTCATCTTTATTGTCATGTTCACAGTAAAGATGGGGAAAACAGAACAAGCAATGTAAATAATGTAAATAAAATTGCATTTCGTTCAGTACACATGCAAAAACTAGTTTCTCTTTATTTATCTCTCTAGCTATCGTTGTTCTCCACAGCTTCCTGTCTTTTGTCACTCTGAGCAATAATTACTTCCTATTCGTCTTTGTGGTACTTGTTTCTCCATTCTTTTTCTATATGCCCTGTCTCTTCAGGATGTGAGCGATCATGGCTCATCACATCTTCCTATCCTTTGTAGCTCTTCGGAAGATTTATCTTTCCGCTCGTCCCCCTGATCCACATTCTGCCATTCATTTACACAAGCTCATTAGGTAAGCCAGTCTCTTTTCTCTGTCTCTTTTGCTTTCAGTGGATCGAGTGGAGTGTCAAATTCTCTAAGCCCTCTTTTCTGATTATATGTTATAGAAATTTCAACTGTCTTTTACTCAATTTTTTTTTCGAATAGTTTACTCTCTGCATCTGTTGCCTTCGATGTGTCCCGTGAGTGTTAAATTCCGGCAGCTACTTTCCTCATTTTGTGTGCAAAGATTTTCAGTTGTTTCTTTCTGATTGTTTGAAGCAGTTTTCTTTGTATTTCCTGTCTTCTGTAGAAATCATGTGTCACATGCTCTGTCCATGATATTCTTGAAATTCGTTGACAGAACCATATCTTTTCATCACTTTTTTTTATCTGTTAGGAAATTCTCCGGCATTCACTGCTATAAAAGAGGATAGATTAGCAAATGTTTCTCTTATTTTTTAATAACTTCACACATGAACAACATTCTGAAAAGTACATTTCACTATTGTTATGTGTCTTCGATTAAGACTTCTTTTCCAAAGTTTTCTTTAGACAAAAAAATATTTCTTAACATAATCTCTCACCTTTACAATGCACTTAATCCAATGATACTTCATTAATCAAATAGCTAGAGCATTATACAGTGGACAATTCAGATCAAAAATGTGGTTCCGTGCTTATTGGTCCTCTCTTGAGTGTGTGTGTGGGGGGTATAACTTTTGATAATTTTATGAGGAAAACGTGGCTTAATATCGAGGGTAGAGAGTTTTTAAATATAAACAGTGTGGACATAGAAATCAACACTGCGTGATGACTGTCAATTTCACATTTCAGATGTTAACTGAATATATGGCCCGATGATCGCTTAAGGCGTGAAAATGACAGTCGCCATACAGTGCTGATTTCTATGTCCATGTTGTTTATATGCATCTCTCTCTCTCTCTCTCTCTCTCTCTCTCTCTCTCTCTCTCTTATGTAGATACTGTGGCAGGAAGTCCCCAAACAGCCGTCCTCATGTTTTGAATTCAGAATTATCCTTCTCCTACATTAGTTGCCAACCAAGACTAAAGATCTTAGTTTATCCTCTTATTTAGCCCCCAACTTGGAGAATATGTAAAAGTTTCTGTTTGTAATTTACCCCTGAAGATGATCTTAGAAAAGATCAAAAAAACAATTACGGCACCTTCCTTGATGAATTTCATCTGATCCTCGAGAAACAGACTAGACAAATTGAAAGAATCAGTATAAAATTTTACACAAAAAAATCTTGAAATTCTAAAGAGTAAATTTATTCAATAAAATCACCATTGGCCTCAACCACGGCCTCCAGAGGACTTCGGGATCTCCTACAACTGTTCTGGACAGTCTCCGTGTTTAAATTGGTGAATGCTGCCATAATCCTTGCCTTCAGTTCATCTTTGATGTCACAAGGTGTTTTGTTGGCCTCTCGCTCAACTGCACCACCCCACACATAACAAGAAGAAGAAAAAAAAAGAAACCTTTTTCTCGTAAAAAAAGAGCTTGTATTTTGCTTTTAAATTTCTCCGGATCTCCGATTTCTCATTCAAAGCCTCTATCTCAATAGAAGCATTCATAAGATAATGAGCAGAGTTAATTAACGATAGATAGATAGATTGATAGATAGATAGATAGATAGATAGATAGATAGATAGATAGATAGATAGATAGATAGATACCTCCATTTTTACATTTTAATTAGATTTAATTTTTTAAATTGTGTATTAGTTTATGTCAGTTAGGTGACATTGTCATAAATTACAAAATATATTTACTAATCATAAATAGAAATTACCTCAATTCAGCAATCTGCAATCTTTTTAAAAAGAATTTTGGTTTTTTTTTTGTGTGTATGAAAAATTGTGTGTATTTTTGTAAATGCTGGTGTCCATCCGCGACACAATCAAAAATAAGAGCGATAACTATAGTAAATTTAAAGCCAAAGTTTCTAAAATTTAATAAAATATTAGATTACGGAGAATATTTTCCTAAATTTTTAAGATTACTGGCTAGTTAAAAAATTATATAAAAAAGTAATCTGTACATATATGTCCATCATAGAAATAAATTAGATAAACTGTCATTCAAGCTGTCAAGCAGTTAACACCTTAAATAAACACCTACTTTAATGTTAAAAGATACAATTATAAAAAATATCCGATACTTTAAACTTAAAGTAATATTTGCTTCAAATCAGATTAATTAAATTTTAAATCGGTTAATATTTCTGAAATAAAAATTCAGAAAAATATATTTTATTTTTTAAAGTTTTTTTTTTTTTAAAAAAAGAGAATTACATTGTACTAAGAGTTGGCTAAAAATGGCGCTGAAATCCGAGATTTTTAGCTACTTAAAAACACCTCCTAGTCAATTAAAACTAATTTTGAAATACTACAGCAAAGTATTTTGTTTATTAGAAGTACTAAATTTAATCTCTTAGCTTGAAATTAAAACTAAAATAAAAGCTTCAAGAAAGATATTTTACATTTTAAAAAAATTCATTTATCGCGTTTTCTTTGAGGTAAATACACACACACGCGCATATATATATATATATATATATATATATATATATATATATATATATATATATATATATATATATATATATATCCGAATGTAATGAGAACTAAAATAATATATAAATTCTAACGTTCACAGCATTGATTTAAAAGAGGGCTCAATACCGATATTAGAGCAATAATTATTTATCATAATTTTTCATATAGACAAAAACATTTTACTCACGATAAAGATGCAAGTTCGTTTAGTTGCTGATGAGAACTATGGTTCACACCAGTCGAGGTGCAACTAAATGCACCAAAACGAAGTTGCATCTTTGTCATCAGTAAATGTTTTTTGTCTATGTGAATAAATAAATTACAACACATACATATACATATATATATATATATATATATATATATATATATATATATATGCTTAAATCTATACCGTATAAAAGGATATTGATTTATCTATTCTTTTCGAAATTACGCTCAATATACCTCTCATGAAAACGAAGGAGTTGAAATTTCTATCGGGAAAATTAAGGAGTGCATACAGACGCCATCTGCATTTGAAACTGCTGTTTTATTTTCCTCATTCTATGCGACAATGTTGGATATTCGATGAGGAGTCGATGTTCTAAATGCATTTAACGTACGATTTGCTTAATGACGTAAGTTGTTTTTTTTTAGGATAAATGTTCTTTCCGATCACTTATTCTCTGCTCAGTCTAAATAGCCACCATTACGTCATTTCCGTGAATGGATAAGTGAAACGGTTTTACCGACACTACGGAAATTCTATCGTGGATTATTTAGACGAATAACCTTACATTTAATGGATATAAACTGACAAATCGTATATTGTTTCTCGAAATGGCTTCAGTGGTTTTCTTAACAATGATGTTAGCCAAAATCTTTTGTTGCAATATGTAAGATTGTATATTGTAAGAAACTTGCACATCACCTTCCTATCTCAATTTTTTTTTTAATATTTCTAAGCAGATAAAATTTCAGTACCCCATGTATATGTGGTGGAGGGTATCTTCAAAATAGCTCCTGACAATTTGGGCAAAATATGTTTAACACAATTCAAAATCACCTTACTGTAAATGGTACAAGGCCTGTCGTCAGACAACGACGAAGTCAACATTCTTTCATGTTTTTTTTATTCTTTTTAGTAACCAAAACAATTAATTTCCATTTATTTCTTCTTATTCTTCTTCTTCTTCTTCTTCTTCTTCTTCTTCTTCTTCTTCTATGTGCCGTATCCCTTCAGACCGTGAACGTTCATGACATTCTATATCTACCTATCTCTTGTAGCTCTTAGTATGGTCTTTTCA